GCAATGTGAGCTGGAGTGGAATTTCCGTGGGGTGTTGCCAACTCTGTAGAGGAGGATTATAAACACAAGGTATGCTGGAAGCAGCCTAGCTATTTACTTGCAGTCCTCTTTTTATTTTGGGGAAGAAACTAGAGATTTCATGCTCTGATGTTTATTCTCTTTCATAAGTAAAGAAACTATCATCTTGTTTTAACTCGCTGGCAGAAAGATTGCCTGAATATAGCTGGCCCCGGTCTCTGGGTTTTGTTGTTGCTTCTGTTCTTGTTCACAGTTGAAAATGGTTTTCTTCCTCTGTTTTACAATGTGAGTTATCTCCAGTTGGAACAGCCTATTCTCTCGGACTTGCATGCTGCAGTGCTAATCGCCCTGGGTTTTGCGTTCCCCCTCTCACTTTTGGCAGGGGCAGGGCTGGGGGGGATGGGACATATGGAAAAGAGGCTGAATCAGAGCAGCTCAGTTTCTGTCCACTCAGCAGCCTCTCGTCGCTTTTCTAAGCCTTTTCTGTTCTATTTGGAGAGGACAAAGTTCCTGTGTTTGGGTCTGGGAGCAGGGTAACTTGGCAGTAACCCTCCACTGACAGAAAGACGTGTGTCCTCCATCTCCCACATTGAGAGACATTGACCCACATTTCCACGTGAAAATGCGCACGCTCCTGGCTGCCCACGATCGCACTTCGATCCCCCTCCCTTGCGAAGGAGAAGGGGAACTGAAGCTTGGCTGTGGTTTTCTGGCACTCGGGAATTGCAGCGGATGCCCCAGGAGCACCGTGTTGAGACAAGCAGATTTCTTCTGGTGACGGCGTAGGGAACCGCCGTGTTTACTGACTGTTAACACGCGCCGCGTTCCAGGGCGTGAGGGGGGCAGATGTAACAGCACCGACTCTTCAGACTGTTGAACAGAAACACATCATCAAACTGTTTGTCTTACACAAAGGTCTGCTTGTTTTTTCCCTGCTTTGGGAGACACTGGTAATGACAACAATATGCTTTTCTACTGAGGAAACTCGAGTTTCATCCTTTTTATTAGCCAAATAAATCAGTGGACCAAAAGTGTGCATGAGAATCAGCAGCGAGGTGGGGGGAGAGGCTGCTGTATAAAGAATATGATGTCCACATGAGTGTTTCACTTTTGTCAGTACACCTTGCTTTTACTCCCAGCTTTGCTATTTCATGTGCATTTGAGAAGAAAGATAGGCTGAACCTGGGAGCTATGCAGTGTTTTCTGCTATTGTCAGTACAAAAGCAGGAACATTGAACCTGTCTGTGCATTAAAAGCACACAGTGATATCAGATTTAAATTAACATTTGTGTTGCTTAAAAGTTCAGGGGGAAAAAAAAAAAAGGATTGCAGGAGTGATAAAGTTTCCTTTCAGTTTCACTTGAAACAGTTTAGTTGAACCAAGCCGCCAGTGCCTACTATGTCTTCAATCCACTACAAAACTAAAAATATACAAAATACTGGAAAAGTTGAGAAAAAGGTGACACTAGGCAACAGGGAAGTCGATCTGCCAATTTTCATTGCCCACATTTAGACATGCCTCAGAAGCGAGCCACTAGCACTCAAAGCAGCAAGCACATTTAGTTTTCTTTAAAGGAACTAATAATCAACTGTAGAATTTGTAACATAGGTAAGGAAATGTTTTAAAATATGGAACCAAATTTTCAGCTGGTGGAAAATTGTTGTACTGCCAGAGTTAGGAGAGTGATGCCACTTAAACCAAATAAAGGCATGGCTCGTGATTCTTAGTTTGACAACTCCCGTTTCAGTATTTTAAACACCACTGATACCATATCTATTCTTACACATTCCTAAACTAACCGTGAAATGGATTCGTATCCCTGTGGACCTGTTAGTCATATGGCTTATGGTAACAGTCTTCTCCGTTTCACTCTCGGCACAGGTAGCCGAGTCACCAGACGGCCAGGAGGTCTCCACTGAAGTCACCCCAGTGCCACCCTTTGCCTACGGCGTGCAAGGCCTGAAGCATTCCACCAACTACAGCGTTCGCGTGCAGTGCAGCAACGAGATGGGCAGCTCCCCTTTCACCGACAGGATTTATTTCCAGACCCTGGAGCTCGGTAAGCAAATAGACAGGAAAACAGTTCTGAATCTGAAAGAGACGACGGTAGGCTTCATTGAACTCCTCCTTGCTAATTCTGCAATGCAGGAAACGTTACACTGTCACATTATTTGTCCGCTGTAAGGGTCTCCTAACGACTAACATAAAATAATAATAGGCAGTCAAACGTGGTTAACAGCAATGATGCATGATACACAAGGTGATCCAGCCACGGGGCTTCTGCATGTGACATGGGCGTATGTCACATTCGCTCTCTGAGGTCCTTGGGGTCTCAGAAAGAAACGAGAGATGCTGGCCAGCCTTATCGTCTCCACTTGAAGCAAACGTAGTGCTGGTGGCTTACGGAAGTTGTTCTCTCCCCCCACACTCTTCTGTCTGATCTCAGGAAAGAAGGTGACACTGTCTTTTCAGCCATTTACAGTGTGGATAGTGCCATATTTTTGCTGCACAGAGTCATTGTGTTCTGTCTTCTGCTTTCAGCTCCAAGCAGCACCCCACAAAATATCCATGTTATCCAAAGAGATCCTGGTCTGATTTTGGAGTGGGAAGGTGTGGCTCCAGATGTGCTGAAAGAAAATGTCCTGGGATATAGGCTGGAGTGGATTCAGGATAATGTAACTCAGGTAACAGATTGAGAGGGGAGCTGAGCCATTGGGCACAAAGTTGGAGAATATTCATACTAAATGTCATAGTCATAAGGAGATCTCATCCCTTATCCATACCAGGGGGCTGGATTGCTGGCATTGCTTTTGTGCACATAGATCTGTTCTGATTTGCAACAACACTTCAGTATTTGGCCTCAAGATTTAGGCCCATTTCTCCCTTCCTGGCATATTCAGAATTCCTTCACTTCAATGTTCATCTGCGGACAGACCAGTTCTTTGCCATTCCTTGTACAACAAGGACAACATAGAGAGAATTCGGTTTTTCTCTGCCTCATTCTAGTGCTGTCCCAAAGGTAGCTCCAGACAGTGCAGGATCTGGGCTTTCTCTCTCCTGTGACTGGGACTGAGCTTTCCAAATGTTAGCAGCAAAGGTGTATTTAACAAGTGGATGAGTTATACTGTAAATCACAGGAAGAAGGTTGTGGATTCTTTTATTTCGTTTACAATATGTAGGGAGTTGAAAGGACCCTGTCAGGGTAGAAGGCCTTTCATTTGTTCTTCAGCATTGACCTTTCCCAGGTATGTAGTTACCTTTGAAGTTCACAGCATTTCTTATGGTTTCTCGCTTCTTCATATGTATTTAGCCAGTGCTTATTAATAATGAACAATCCTGTAATAATAGGCAGCTAGAGGGAAAAGGGACTTATTTCCTTTTTTGCATGACCCATTTCGTACTAGGTCAGCGTCATTGACTTTGAATGACATTATTTTGAGTTCCCATTGAATTTACATTGTGTCAGTGGTGGCAGCCAAATCTTCATGTGTTTACTGCAAATGATGTGTATGAAGAAGATCCACAAAATTACTGAAAATATGTTGGCCTTGCCATCCTAAGTGAAAATGTGCCATGAAATTCAGAAGCCATTTGGGATTTGGTCAACAAGTTAAAACAGACTCCTCCCCTGGATTAAAACTGTCAGATGCTTTGCAGTATGTTAGCCCATCTTTGTGTTTAAACCACAAGAAGTAGGTGTTTCTTTTAAGAGCAGGAAAAAACACATTTCTATAGCAACTTTCATGGAATGACCTCAAAGGAGGAAATCATTAAACCTCTTCCCTACA